AGGTCGAGCGTTTCCAAGAGAGCTCCCTTCATCGACAAAAAGAGCCGGACGGGCCTCGTGAAATTCTTTATCTTTTTTTCTGTATGTCGAAGTATCGTCCAACCAAGGTGAAGAATCGTTTGTGCAGGATCGATATGAACAGTAAAGCATCGCTGTCCAACTCGTTGAAAATCGCATAGAGCACATCATCTGGGAGCTCGATGAGCTCGGTGCTGTTGAGGAGGGAACGAGCATCAGTATCACGGGTGTCGGACCGATATATCTTAGCTCGTCCAGTTGTAATCCGTCGTCCTTGCAAGCTCCCACCTGAACGACGATGGCTTGGGTTCCTCCATCGTATCGATTGAGTTCTTCGTAAATTTATTATTCCAAACAAAGGTATCGACAAGCCGCGGCTCGGAACTGGATTGGTCCTGAAGTCGATGGAGAAACGAGGAGCGTTCCGAACTTAATGTCCTGTTGATCAAAACGGGGACGGAATGGAGTTATGCATGAATGCTGTACTTTTCGATGGGAAAAAATATGGGACTGATGCTTCGATGATGACTGAGTCGAGTCCGACCGCGGCAAGTTCAGGTTGGAGGGAAGCTCGGTCCAGTCATCGGCTCTCCCATCTAGGACAAAATCCTCTCCGTGAAGAGAGAACCAGATCAGAGTCGAAGGTTTGGATCGCGTTATGAATGAGCCGACCCTGACTCAGCGTAAGTAATCGTTTATAGGCTCGCGGTTATCAAATTACTGCGACTATCTCATGCAATTCCGCCTTTCGGAAGATCCTTCACTGATATATGTAGATCGCCAGAGCCCATGAATCGAGCCAAGGATCGTGAGCTTCCTCGGTGATAGCATCCCCCAGAGCCGGTTTTCGGATCGAAGGACACGTTCCGCCCCCTTTCTTTCCCCCCCTTCGCTCAAGATCCCAATACCCGCTTGAGTTCCGATAACAGAGACTGTTATTGAGCGCTCGAGTCGACTGCGGGCATTCCGAATGCCGATGCGTTTCCCAAATAGTTTTGAATGATCGATATTTCTATTTCTTCTAGCTTGGAATTCGGGAGAGTTTTCTTTTCAGAGAGAAATCTGAGACAGAATACTTGCAAAAGACGACCGGTGCTCCGATCAGAGAAGGCCAAGGAGCCTTGAGAGCGGGAGATATCCTCGAGAAATAAAGGAATTACCTGCAATAACCTCACAAGCCGACCAAAGCTCTGTGTGCACTCTTCGAATATCTAATCGCGCCGCATACTGCGTCAGCTGCCCGTGTCTCTCCGACGACTCTCGATTTTTCTCTCCGCCTTGGATTCCGAAACGGCGCGCGCTTCGAACTTACCGGGCCTTGATGAGCTGGCATCTGATCCTGTACAAGCCCGAAAGTGCTCGTCGGAAAGTCGGCCAGCTCCCAAACCTACGGATGTCATCTCCGTAGGCAGGTTGTCCTCAAGGATGAATCCATCCCCCGACTTTTCGCTCCATCCTGGGAGGCAACGGAATCTGCTCGGAACTTTTCAACAGATGCCATCGGAGGGGCAATAATTATCGATCGGCTCAACATCAGAGGGATCACCATTCGGCAACCTTGATGTTTGCAGCTTTTCCTATCGCGAGAGTGGGAAAAGATTTCCTGAGAGCTCTCGATCTCAGCGAATGTAGAGAGATGCCGGTGATCTCCTTCTCGACCGAAGTATATTGACGCGGGTCCTACAAGTCGCTCCGGGTGGCATCGAGTCATTCGCGATCTCGATGCGTGATGGGAGGTGGGAGGACCTTACCGTCACACAGATTTCGAACGTTCACGTGTGAATT